GGTCAATGGTAATCTGCATTGCACAGTATAATCATTATACAGCGCAATGCAGAATACCAGCATTTACAGAGGACTACATATCCCAGCAATAGTACATTATTGTATAATGTTGTACTATTGCTGGCATTTGTTGTATTCCTATATAGCTGGTGGTATACTGCATTTCGCCGTATAATCATTATACAGCGCACTGTAGAGGACTACAAATCCCAGCGATAATAAATGATATACAGCGCAATGCAGAATAACGCCAGCTATAGAGGAATACATCAGATCCCAGCAATAATACATTATATACAGTGCAATGCAGAATAACGCTAGGCTACAGAGGACTACAAATCCCAGCAATAGTACATTATAGTATAATGTACTATTGCTGCATTCCTCTATAGCTGCTGGTATTCTGCATTGCGCCGCTGTATAATGTACTATATTGCACACCACACTTTTTTTTTTACTTCCACCGTGCCAAGCTTGCTCCTGTGATGGACTACAATCGCAATAGAAACTAGTAGTCCATCACTGGAGCCATTTTATTTTTATCCGATTAAACAAACGTAATAATCGGCCAACTAATCGATTATGAAAATAATCGTTAGCTGCAGCCCTACTCTGGACCCACTTTTAGATGATACATGCAGCATCCAGAGCAACCTGACTGACCTCAGGCTTCATGTGTGAGGCACTAGGCATCATTTTTCAGGGTTTAAGGCTAGGTTCACATCTAGTCGATTCAGATGCTGAGCCATTCTTTTGCGCGTTACCGATCACACGACTGTTCATTGAAAACCGCGTGGTTTTCAATGCATAGAGATGTCTATGGGACGTTTTGCAGGATATTGTGCAATCCAATCCGCACGATAAATCGCCTAGCTGTGAACCTAGCCTTTAGGCTAGGTTCATACCTGCACTGCACGACACCCGGGACGCGCATCCCGGGATCGTGCAGTCCTGTACAATGCAGGCAGAGATTGCCACGCGGCCCCATTGATTTCAATGGGGTGCCACCCACGCGGCAATTGCAGAAAAAATAGAAGGTACACGTACCTTTTTTTTTTGCAATAACACACGGAAGCACGGGCGATAACACTGTGTTCAAAAGCAGTCGGAATCGCGGCGCAACTGGGGTGCCATTAGCGAGTCACACATAGCTTTGCCCCTTTTCTTAAACCTTTAGGTTAGGTTCACACCTAGGCAACACCTGACTGCAGGAGGCAGGAGTCGCCAAGGTGTGAACCAATCGCGCTGTGGGTGCCATTATTTTCGAATGGCACACTAGTCGTGCTGGGCAGATCGTGCTGGGCAGATCGCGTGGTTTCCCGCCGCGATTACGAACACAGTGACTAGGCAATGTGTTTCAGGGTTCAAGGCTTGACAAAGAGCTATGACATACAGGAAGTGTTTTGCCCAAAGTCACCCACGATGACCTCAACCCTACTGAAAATGAAGGAAAACATTAGGACTTGCTGATATTCTCACATAACAACGATGTACTCCACACACAGAAGTTTACTGCTTCATTGTACTACACAGAGAAAGTAATACTGATGTGTGTGTCACACATTGGAGAAACTCTACCCATCAATACACAGACTACATACCGAACCTCGCCAGGGGCTCCTCCAGAACATGCCTCATACAGATTGTAAATGTTCAGTCCTATACTGTATACATCATGCATGGCTTCTTGGACCTGCATACAGACCAGCAAATATAAAAAAATGTAACCAAAATAAGTACTAACTTACACAAAGCTGGGGCACTACAGTGGCTTAAAGCAACACTAAACTCAGTAGTTAAACCTCAAAAATGTGTTCAAGTAGCTTACCTATTAACAATAATGAGGTGAATTTATGAAAACTGGAGCAGACCAATCAAGAGCAGTTGCCCATGGCAACCAGAGTCTCTCTTCAGTTTGTTCCGTTAAAAGGTGATTGGTTGCCGTGCACAGCTGCTCCAGATTTTGATAAATTCCCATCAATGCATCTTATTTATCGCTCAGCTGTGTCCTCAAATCAGCTCAATGTCCTCAAATCAGCTCTGAATTGGTGCAGACACCGTCCTTCCTTCTGGAGGGGGGCTACTTTTGTTCCCCATGGTCCCTGTGTGTGTTGTAAAGTAGCCACCGCTCCAATCTCACTCCTGTGATGGACAATGTCAATACAAATTAGTAAACAAGGCGTGAGATTGTAGCCCATCACAGGAGTGAGATTGGAGTGGTGGCTACTTTACAACACACACAGGGACCATGGGGAACAAAAGTAGCCCCCCTCCAGAAGGAAGGACGGTATCAGCACCAATTCAGGGATGAATAGAGGATCTACAGCTGAGTGATACACAAATAAGATACATTTTTGTTAATAGTGGATTTACTTTAATGTATTTTTAACATTTAACGCCTGAGTTTAGTGTCAAACCTTGATTTTTGGTTTTCAACAGCGTGCGAAAGAGTCAGAACTCCAGTCAAGGTTATCTGCGGTCTCCTTTCTCTGGGACAGTATCCCTCATCTTCTGTGCCGGTGACCCCAGTAGGTGGGAAGGCATAGAGCAATAAAAACCCAGCAGATGTTCTAGCCCATTTCCCATACAACTAAGTAAATGTGCTTTTATTGCGAGGTCTGTCCACAAAGAGACACGCAATTGCCCTTTGTCCTTCTGACATCCTGGAGAAAATCTTAATGGGATCACAGTCAGCAATAAAAGCCTTGCAGATGGTCCAACCCTTCCAATGCTTTGTAGAAAACCAATAAATTAATGTTTTGGTTGAAGTTGGGCTTTACAGAATTGATTTTGCAAGGCACACTTACCCTCAGAGAGCAGTTTGCATCTGCGTTATTGTAGAACTGACATGTCCCTCCCTGGCAACAGAATTTCTGCAGCTCTTCCCAAAGGCTGAAGGAAAAAACAAAAGTCACTTGGTGAGTAATAGGGAAAGCGGTAGTTATATTGTTGTATGTAGCCATACATGGGGGAATATTCTTTTGTAGATGATCACACTTGTATCTAGGGATGCACCAATACCGGTTTTTCGGTATCGAGTACCGATATTTATGTTTCACTACTCTCCAATACAGAGTACCAATACCGGTACTTCCGGTAGCATAGAGTTGGCTTCCCGGGCAATCAGGAAGCCAGGCGTCGTGTCATTACCCCCAGCCCGGCTTCTTGATTGCCCGGGAAGCTGACTCCATTCCGTTTGGCAGCCTTGATGCCCATTGGCTGGGAAGCCGGATACCCAGCCAATCGGCCTCGGGGCCGGCCAAACAGATCTGACAATATGGTCACACGATCCCCAGCCTGCAGACACCTCATTCCCCTCAAATAGATCCTCAGCAGCAGGTCATTACCGTACCAGTCCCTCGGCCAGCTGAGCAGACACGGCCCTCCAAGCTCTCCCGAATCTGCATACGTCTCCTGTGTGTACAGCGCCCGCGTGATTGGCCCTCAGCCTGCTACTGCGCATGCAAAGAATGTCTGAATGAGAGAGCTGGGCAGTCTGCACATGCGCAGTAGCAGGCTGAGGACTGATCATACAGCACATGAAGTAAGCCTGTGATAACCTCTAATGTCCTAATCTAAATATACGGAGGATTGGAATGGCGATATAAAGAGTGACATTACATTAAGACTGCCCCCGTGGTTACTGAACTAAAGCAATACTTGATATTTGGAACTGTAAATCTTATGGGCGAGCGCTGTAAGGGGATTGCCATACTAGCGTTTGCCTTTAAAAGCAATGTAAATTAGTTCACTTTAATGCTTAGTTTTCTATGCCCGCAACGCTGCTCTGTATTGTACAAATAACAGCTTCATGCTGATGCTAGATACTAAATTACAGCACTGGGGTCCCTGGTTTGAATCCCACTCAGGACACCATCTACATTCTACAATGAGTTTGCATGTTCTCCCTGTGCTTGTGTGGGTTTCCTCCAGGTACTCCGATTTCCTCCCACACTTCAAAAACATGCTGGAAGGTTAATTAGTTCCTGTCTAAATAGGCCCTGTATGCGTGTGCTATAGGGACCTTCGATTGTAAGCTCCTTGAGGGCAGGGATTCATGTGAATGTGCACTATGTAAAGTGCTGCATAAGTTGTCTGCGCTATATTAATACCGGAAATAAATACATTTCAGCATTCTTTTTTTGGGGGGGGGGCACTGTGACTGATCGTTTCCGGCTATAGTACAATGCAGGGATAGTGTCATTTACACTACCCCACCTCTCCCCTTGCCCATTCACAAAAAGCCTAATTCTTTTCACATCATTCCACAAAAAAGGAATTTTTTTCCTGGAGGTTTACTTCAAAAAGATTATCTGTGGAATAAATTGACCCAGTAAACCGGTCCAACTACCGTGTTTCCCCGAAAATAAGACAGTGTCTTTTTTTTTTTTGCACGAAATAAGACACTAGGTCTTATTTTCGGGGGATGTCTTACTTTCGGGGAAACACGGTAGCAGTATGGCATTAGAAATGAATTCAGAGTTTCAGTGTGAGACCAGAATAGTCAATAAGCTATATATTTAGACATTGTGTTCTGTATAATGATATTAAAATAACTTTCCATTTTAACCTGCAGCCATTGTGATATTCCAAAAGCATCACAAATTTCAAAAAGTTGCTTCCTGGTGATATGGAAAATCAGAAAGCCTCCCCCAGTAAGGAGCTCACTCCTTTATACCAGAATATCTGCAATGAGCTACAAGTCAAATTACAAGCAAACCCTACATTAGGATTTTCATTGTTGGTGAAGCTCACCTACTGTATATCTAAAAGGGATTCAGGCACTGCAACTTTTCCTATTATAATATGGACATTGCTCAGCTGATTATAATGAAGGTTGCCCCCCTCCCCTTAGAAATGTGTTTAAAACTGCCTATACACCTTACAACCATCGCACGACTTTCATTGTGCGATGGTTGAAAGGTAATTAAAATCTCGTACGATCTGCTCATCTTGGACAGGCAGATCGTACTTGCGACCATTGCAAACCGCTGAGGGGAGGGCTTCTGATTAATGCAGTGCTGAGTGGGCAGTGGGCACTGGCGCACACCGGCCCGTGCGGCATTAGTCTCCCGAGCACGCCACTAACCCGCCGAAAATCGTACGATTTTCAAGAGTGCTCTGAAGACGAATGTTGTGCGATCTTACAGTAGAAACGGTCGCACGCTGCCCATGCACCTGCCGATTATTGTACAATAATCGGCAGGTGTATGGGCACCTTAAAGCTGCGCATACACCTTCTGATCGGACAACAGTTTTCGTCTGATGATCGAACTGTTGTACGATTTTCGTACGGCGGCCCCATCCTGCCCCGATTATCGCAAGGTTGAATCAGCATTAAAAAAAAAAAAGCACCTGGACGAATTGCGGTAATCGTATTTTCCTTTGCACATGAGCAGTATAAAAAATTGTACGAATTTTGACATATGGAAACGCCACCAACCTTGCGAAAATCATACGATTTGACCTGCTGGTTAGTTAAAAGTCGATTGATCATACAGTATTTGCGGTTGTACACTGTCCATCAACCTCACAAATATCGGACGACAATGCGATCGAATACGAAAATCGGCTGACATTCGTAAGGTGCATGGGCACCTTTAGAATTGCAGTAAGGTAAACCAAAGTTTCTGCAGAACAGGCAAATGTACACCGTGCAATGAACTGAGCAAGGATAAAGAACTCCACAAATAAAAACCCCCCAATCAATTTTTACATACTTGCTGCCCAATATTCCGTGGTAGTAGGCGAAGTAAATCAGAGAGTTGTCATTGCTTTCATAACTACTTAATCCATTGCCAACAGCAATTCCCTAAAGGGAAATGAACAAAGATGCAGTTAAACATTGCACAGGTTATGAGATAATGGGGTTCATTTTGTGCACAAAAGAAAAAAAAGTGTACAGATGTTCCATTATGCTGGAAATTGGTATTACCTCAAGAAAGTAAAGTGTCATAAAAGAAGCATGAACACTGCCATTTGTGACTTCTGAACATGACAGTTGCCTGCCTGTCATGTTGATGCTTTGGCTTTAGTACTTACACTTGCTACATGCTTCTTCTGAGTCGGCGGCTTACTACTTTCACTTCATGACACAGGACAAGCGCACAGATAAGTGTTAGGAGTGTAGCTCATGCTCCTACGTCTGTCTCAGCCTCCTAGCTCCTCCTGGTGGTTACATGCTGCCACTGCACCTTTCCCAGATGTCAGCCCTGGGGTAATGTAGCCAGGGAAAGGTGCTGAGGTGTGTGGCCAGGCTCTTCATCAGATGCTGCTAAGGATCCTAGCCACACCGTCTCAGCACCTTTCCCCGGCTACTTCATCAGCTGTGGGCTAATGAGCTTGACTACACACCCTCAGCACATTTTCCAGACAACTTTGTCAGCTGCAGTGGCCACACACCCCTCAGCCTTAGGATTGGCTAGCGACTCTGGGCTTGAGATAGTTCTGTGCTCACAAGTCTGTTTACAGTCTCTGAACATCTCGTCTTCAACCTGTGCTTGTCATTATATCTCGTATCCTGCTGCCTGTCAGTATCTTTCCCTGGTATACTCAGCCGAACATAACATACATACAACTATGACAAAAATTAAAAAACATATTTACCATACACCCCAGTTGCTGTCAGCAGCACCCATGCAAGGGCGACATTTGGATCTTAGGAAGGATAAGGACTTCAAATCCAGTGCCGGAGCCTTTTTTTTTTAAAGACCTAGGATTCTCAGAGGTTCCAGAATCTCACCAGAAGGAATCAGGCAGGCAGAGTGTAAGGCATGTATTTTTTTAAATTATTATTCCTCTCATAAATGGCCATATTTTATTTATATGTGGCATTTTTACAGGGGAGGGAGTTAACTTAAAAGGAGAACTATGATCAAACAACTTCACATATTTCAGTGGATCTGAACAAAGCACTGCACAAGTCTGTATTTGAGGTTTCTCTAGCAATGCAGCTGTCCGATGGGGTGGAGGCAATACTTACACTACAAAGTCCTACACATGTGAAGGTGCCCATACACCTGCCGATTATCGTACAATAATCGGCAGGTGTATGGAAGGCGTGCGACCGTTTCTACTGTACGGTCCCACGTCTTTTGTCTTACGAGCAGACTCGAAAACCGCTGAGAATCGTACGATTGTCGGCGGGTTTGTGGCCTGCTCATAAGACAAATGACGCAAGCGCACACTGCCCGTTCAGCATTGCAGTCATCGGAAGCCCGCCCCTCAGGGGGGCGGGCTTGCGATGATCGCTAGTACGATCTGACTGTCCAAGATGGGCATTTTTTTAATTACCTTACAACCATTGCAAGACAAAAGTCTTGGGATGGTTGCAAGGTGTATGGCCAGCTTAAATAAGATAATTGATCAATTAAACTTTATCTGAATATGTCATGTTTCTCACCTTCAGGTTTATAGTGGAATCTTGTGACACCTCCACAGCCAGTGATGGAACGTACACACCACCATAACTTTCACCTGTGATGTAAAGATCATTTGCACTGTATTCTGGGAAAAGTGTATAAAATTGCTTCAAAGCCAGATAGTTGTTATGTGCAACCTGCAAGGGTAAAATGTGACCAGGATGAACAAGCAAAGAAAAAAGGTCTACAATTGCATAGAAAAAAAAAAAAAGACATTCATTTGATTAATTAATGTCATTAAAAGCACCTCCTTCCATTTCTAGGTATCCCCGATGTTAATGTGAACATTAAAAGCATTAAAATGGAACTCGCGCCATTAAAAGAAAAAAAAAAAAAAAAACACAGAAAAACCACACACAACAAAAACAGCATAACAGTGTTATAGCATCCACTAAAAGGTTCCAGTTGATGGACGTTCCGGTCAAACCCTGCGTTTTTTTTATTTGAATGCATGCTGATGCATTTGAATGGAAAACACTGCGTTTAACCTGCTTTGTCCGAAGTTAAACTGTGCCTTAGTAAGACATGCTGTGTCCACAGAATTGCAGCCTCTGAACTGCCATGCACGCTGCTTCATTAAAATCAATGGAATTTTGCTAACCTGAGCTCTATATGCGCTCTAAGGGCCCATTCACACCAGCAGCTATGCTACACCACATTTTTCGAAAAGCATTGCACTGTTTTTTTTAGAACACCACATCCAGTGTGAATGGGCTCTAAAAGGTACATGAACACAGACAAAAAACAATGCCCACCGATATGAGCCCTGATACTTGCCCTCATCTACTTCCTCGCAACAGCTGGCATCCCTGTTTACAATCTCCAGCTTTGGCATGTGGCCAGGCACTCTTAGCAGCATCCATGTCCCATCCTGATTATGTAGCCACTGGCCCTACACTGATTACCCACCTATAGTCCACCAAACGTTTAGAAACAGCCGGGCGTCTTCTGGATGCAGGTGGCCGTCTTTAAACGTCCTTCGCGCGCAAGTGGGGAAACCACCAGAATTTGAAACAGCCAGCGATGGCCGTTTACATACAAGCGGGCCGGCGTCTATACAGACGCCCGATCGCTTGTATGATGCATCTCTGTGTGTGGGCCCTCCTTGCCGATCTAAAACGATCAAACGAATGCTCCAAAACATTTTCCAGGATCGCTTCTGTTGTAAAGCCGACAGTCGGCTCTACAAGTTTAAACAGAGTCCCGGCGGCAAAAGTCGCCGGGAGTCTGTTTAAACAGCCCCGATGCTGGCGACGTACACTGTACGTCGTCAGTCACGAAGGGGTTAAACACAATTCTACTGGTGTATGGCCAGCTTAATATCAGGCACCACAGGTTGCCTACCATTGCCTTTATTTGCCAGAAAGCCCTCCTCTGTCTGCCTCAAACTTGTTAACTTTGTTCACAGGGGCTGAATTCCCACCAAATACAACCCTCCTCCCAATGGGAATACCTCTGTGACCAATACAGGGCATGCTCATTGGGCAAGGTAATGGCAGTTCATGTAGCCTAGCCCTTGAAGTGAACCCAACAATTTTATATACACCATTGGAAGTCTTTTGTTACATCCGCAAGTGCAAAAAAACATTGGTTTTGGCAGAAATCTTGTGAGCTGAACTTCCTGTACACTCTGTACAAGGAGGGGTTATGGAGACAAGGAAAGGTCTGGGATCTTTGTAACCTATCAGATATGAAGGTGCTGACAACATGTGCTTAGGAATTCAGAGCCGTGTTGCCATTTTAAAGAGGAATGTAGGAGCTCATTATATTCCTGGCACAGCAACAGATATTTTTCTGAATTTGCAGGAAGTTTACCCTTTTTGCTGCCAGAGCCATTTTTGAATTATTTACACACACATTGTAGGCCAGGCGATTGTTACAATTATACCTTTTATGAAAGCAGATACCTTGGAGAATACAATGTTGGTAGCTGTCATTTTTTGCATTATCAAATGCAAATTTGTAGCTTTCTACAAACCCCAACATGCCTCTGGTAGTCATGCCTGTAACTGTCAGTCTTGCAATGCCTTATGGGACAGCTGGAGGGACGGAGTTGCCCACCGCTGCATCAAGGGGGTCACTTAATGCCCCCTCTGCAATCCAATGAAGCTGATAAAGTACAGATTGTGCTTGATGAGCTTCAATTCCCAGCCACAGCAACTGATTAATGACAGTTCTGAAACTGGAAGCGATGAAAACCTCATTGCTTGCGGGTTGATTCAGTGCACAGCCATTCATCAGTGAATGGCTGTGCGCTGATAGTCTCCTCCTTTTCCCACGAACGCCTCCCATGCTGGTCCTGGGCCTGCAGGAGGGGAAGCATGCTTGTAGAAGTACTTGTGGCTTTACAGCCGTCTGTATTGTGAGCAGGAGTAGGCTAAAGAAATGTAAATTGACTCCCAGCTGCTATAGTAGAGTGAATCAATCCAGCACCTTCTGGAGTGCAGGGGAAATATCTGCTGCGATTTCATTTTTAATATAATTCAGTTGCATTTCTATTGCACTTTTCTCCTTGAGGTGAGGCAGCCATCTTGGGTGCAATCAGTTGAGCCAATTAACCTACCAGCATGTCTTTTAGAGTGGGGAGGAAACCATCATACCCATAGGAAACCCATGCAAGCACATACAAAGACCTTGCAGATAGTGTCCTGGCTTTGATACAAACCAGAGGACCCCCAGTGCTGCAAGGCAAGAGTACTAACCACCAAGCCACTGTTCTGCTTACAAGTGTACCGAATGCAGCAACATTGTCTGGAATAGAAAAAGGGATAAAAAAAAACACATAACAATTTAGGTATCAAGGCTCACCTCTGTGTCATTTGTCTTATAATTTTTGTCCTCTGAGTAGGAGAAGCCCACGCCTGCTGGAGCCTCAAGGTATAGAACATTAGCAATCTGATGAACAAAGTAGAAAAATAATTAAATCCAAAAGCAGAGAACAAGAAATATTAGGACATACATAGAAAGGTCATTACCTTGTTCCAGGAATAATCATTGTATTCCAGTGACACTCCATCTGGCTGGATCTGCAAAAACAGAAAGTAGAGCAACAACAATGGATTGCCTACTGAGAACTCCACAAAAGAAGTCAGTGAAATCACTAAATATAATCTGCTTACATGTTACCAACATTCCTAGAAAGGAAAAGGAGGCTGTTATATCGACACTTTAATAGCCAATGTTACTGTAACCACTTCAGGACAGCAATACATATATAAAAAGGTCATGATCCTGAAGTGGTTATACCAAGATCTTGGTACTGTTCTTTTCAGCCGCCTGTCGGCTTTAATATACAAGCATTTAGGTGGCTGTAGAACTGCCCGAGCACTTGTATGCAGTCAAATTGTGTGCTGATCTTCCCTCGCTTTCTGAAACTGGAAGTGATGAGGAGTTAGTCACTTCCAGATTCAGGCTGTCATTTCTCTGACTGTGCTTTATCAGCGTCAGTGGGGTCTATAGGTGACATGGCCCCTCTCTACAAAGACCTGTCACTATGTGCTATCACATAGGGAGCTTCTTAGTCCCTTATATTAGACTCTCTCAACCAGGGTGCTGTGCACCATGGGGTGCCTTGAAATGTTTGCTCAGCGTCATGCATTTCTATGGTGAAGGGGGACACCTGATGTTAAGGGGGGAATTCCTGATATTAAAGGGGCTCTTGATTAGAAGGTGAAACCCCATCTTTTAGTGTTTTTGCATGCAGTACATCCTTAAAATTAAAACCAGATCCATATCTAGGATAAGGGTCTGTTATGGATTTTGGATATGGCACACGTTATTTACATATTACACTGGGGTGCCTCATGATTTTAAATACTTTAAAGGCGCCATGAATGAAAAAAAGGTTGCGAAAATCCTGGCTTATGTGACAATAAAGTTAAGCCCTCTACACCAACCCCGTACAAATGCAAACTCACATCCAGTGTGTTTCACATGCAAAAATGACAATTGCACTATGCATGTTACATATCACCACGAATGTTGGAGTAAGAGCAATAATTCTAGGGCCATCACTCCTTCCCATCACTCTAAATTGGTGAGCGGTAAAGGCTTTTAAAGTGTCACCTACTGCTGTTTTTTGCCATTTGACCAGCACATGCAATTTTAAGGTTGGACATGTTTAGTATCTTTTTACACGACACAACCCCATATTTTATGTTCCCAAATAATAGGGCATTATATTCTGTTTGTGTGCACTAAAATTAATTTAATAATTGAATTAATCACCCCTCCCCCCCCCTTTTGAAGCTGGAAAGGCTGAAAAACTTTTCAAATCGTAGGAGAAAAAAAAAAAAAATGGATTAGTTCCGTTTTCGTGCCAAAAAAATGCAACGTGAACACTGCACATGCGCAAATGAAAATCCGTTTTGCTGATCGACGAAATTCTGTCAGGAAGTACAGTGCTACCTCGGTTTCACGAATTGAATGAATTCCACGATTCTGGTCGCGAATCGAATCAAACTGATCGGACCGCGATCTCCACTGAGAGGTAGCCACGACCATGTGTCAGAGCAGGGAAGATGGCTGCGGTTGTGTTAGTCACCCGATGAGTTCACGAATGGAGGCAAAATTTTGCCGAACTTCCTGTTCGCGAACCAAATTGTTCGCGAACAGAAGCGTTCGCAAACCGAGGTACCACTGTATTGCTAACGAACGATAACCGAAATCGGCATTGGTCTGTGCATAATGGGGTGGTCAAGCGGCAAATGGATGACGGGTCGATGAGGGCACGAACGAAATCGAACGATAATCGCAAGGTGTAAGGCCAGCTTAACCGTTTATACAGTAGTACCTACTTAAAAAGGGAGAACTATGGGGTCAGGGCTTTTCCCCATAGATCTCCTAAGAGTAACAGGAGGACACAAACTAGCGTCCTCCCGTCACCCAATGCTCAGTATACTGCGAGCTACGGCTTGCGGTATATTGAGACGCCGCAGCCGGAACGGATCCCGACATTGCTGTCGAGATCCACCCAGCTGCAGGATTGACAGCTGGCTCTGAAAATCCAAAGGCAGAGCCAGCTGTGCCCGCCCCTTCCCCTGTCCGTTCCGCCAGTCAGCGCTGGAGGATCTAAATCCCTGCAGGGAGCAGTGAGTGACATTCACGACTCTCTGCAGGGATAGATCGAGAAGTGAGCGAGCGATGGTATGCATTCGCTCACTTCCTGATCTACTGAGCCGACCTGTGACAGTTTCATTGTCACAGGTCTGCTCAGATTATGAGGCTGAGTGAAAGTCACTCGCCTCATAATTCTCCTTTAAGGCTGACTGCAGGGGAATTCTGTATTATGAGCTACTAGCGAATCACCGCTCCCATTCTATACTTCACTGGCGGGTTATGAAATGACTTGGCAGCAAGCCACTTTCTGAACAATTAACCAAACAGCAACTTCAATTACATACCAGGAAGGGGCCATGTTCTGTCAACAAGCCATCCAGTGAGCTACAACCAGGACCTCCATTCAGCCACAGGACCAGAGGACTAGAGCTGGGATTCTTCTGAGATTCAACAAACCTGTATTGATGAGAGTTATTAGAATTCACCAAACACAAACAATTGGAGAGATGACGGCACCGAGGTTGCTACCTACCAATAGTGGAGATGTTTTCCTCCAGGCACATCCAGGTAGCCCGAGAACTGGCGGAAAGATGGTTGCTTTCTCAGCCCCGGCAAGTATTTGACCTCATCATCTGAGGGTGCAGCGCCTACTAAAAGAGATCCCAGGAGCACAGAGCACATCAGGAGAGGATGCATTCTAAAAAGGGGAAGACAGGAAAAGGCTATAACCAGGGGCATGCAGGCACAGTGAAGACATCGCATGCTTCCTGTGAACTATACTCTGTGGATGCTACTGGGTTCACCTAATGCCATTTTATTACTTTTGGGGAAATCTCCCCAAGGTCAGGGTCAGAACTCGGTTTACTTTAATCTGAGTATTCTGCACCAGTCAAAAACTGGGCAACCACTCACAAGGTGCTTGCCCTATGAGAATTTTTACCTTTCAACATCACAATTGAAAGGTAAAAATCTTGAGCCGGCCGCAATGCGTGACAGTGCGTTCTAGCTAGAATCGGGCCAGGACACAATGCATCTGGTGTGAATGGGCCCCAATGTGCCTTGCGATACCGCATGGCCGATCGCATTGCATCTGGAGGGCGTGGCTACAGTGCCATTCACTTTAATGGCACACCACGCCCCCTACTGCCCCACAAAAAAAGTGAGCCGGCCGCAATGCGTGGCAGTGCATTCTGGCTAGAATCAGGCCAGAACGCACTGCATCTGGTGTGAGCGGGCCCTTAAGGTGCCTGCAGACTTCAGAGGGGGCTCAGACAGGCAACCAAAGGCCACCTCATCATGTGCTGTGCTCTGTACAGGTTCAGTGAATGGAGGGGGGAAGAGGAAGGAGGATAGCGGTGTTGGTAGATACTGACAGAGCTGCCTAATATGGGGAGCAATGAGTGATGGGGTAGATCACCCAACCCACCCATTCAATTGTATCTCATGGCAAAAATCAGCCAGCACCCATGTGTAATAAAAAACGATATCAGTGCAGAAAACAGCCCAATCAAGCAGATGTCACCTAATTGTATAATTGAAGGCTGCATCATGCTTACCTAGGCAAGAAATCCAGTAGGAGGGGGAACCTCATTATACATACATACATATACTTTTTTTTTTTTGCAGTTGTGTGAAATTTGTGTTGATGTTATAAAAAAGGGTGGAACATGTAATAGAATTAGCATCGTATTTATCTGCCCCCTCATCCTTCTCATGCCTCAACCCTCAGCTTTTACTAGCTCTATGTAGATGTATACGGCAATCACAAGTCAGATAACACATGTATGGAGGCAGATCTTCCTCACATCACAGACGATCGATAACGGCTCACCTTCCACCTCTCCGCAGATCACAACCGGCAGTGTAACTTCCTTCTCTGCTCTTCACTCCTCCAACTTCCTCACCATCATATGACTTCAGTCATGTGACCCGTCTTGTGGCCGGAGATCACGTGCTCCTCCTCCGGTGTGTGACGTCAGCAGCGTCTGATGTGCTGCGTTTGATAATGTGTACGAGGTTCCGTCAAAAATGCTGACCCAGTCGAATTTGCCGACCTCACCATCTGCGCTTGCGCACAGACGACATGCACTCGGAAACGGGTTTATTTACAAAGTGTTAATTCCCAATTGTTAATTGTGGCCGTTGATAATATGCCATGCATGGCAGTAAATGATGGATGGTATTTTATGCACATTCACATTTAATATCATAAGCAATTACATTAATTGGGAATTAACACTTTGTAAATAAGCCCCTGTTTGTGAGGTTATTCCCATGTGCGCGCCAGCGCAGATGGTGAGGTCGGCTAATTTGAATGGGTCAGCGTTCTCGATAGAACAGGAATTCTAGTGGGGGACGGGCATTTGATACGTGTGACTGTAAAGCAGATAGTAACCCATAGCAACTACTGTCCTCTTGTTACTGAGCTGGAACATGGCGGCCATGGGTTACTGCACTAACCTGTAAACTCAGATTCCTCTTCACTAAATAAAAATGTATTAATGGGAAAATTCCTGTGTCAGGAATTAAAATCAATGTCCCGAAAAGATGCACCTTTCAGTCCCTATTCACAGCTGAGGGTTTTGCTGCGTTTCCCGAAGCACGTCAACGATTGACATAAAGAATTCCATAATTTCCAATGGTGCCAATTTGCAGCTGAGAGTTGTGTAAAAGTACACAAGCTTCTTTCTAAGCAGAATTTGCGTGGTTTGAATTGTGACTCGCATTTTGCGCCTAACAAAGTCACTCTGTCCTAAAAATGCTCAAAAAAGCTTCAAAATCTCCTGAAAATCCTCAAGCATGAATGTTATAATTAGAATGCAGTATGTGAGCTCCAGTCCTGGGGTTGCCTAGGCTGAGATGATGTCATTAGTCTGCTGCAAACATTTCCGCAGTCTCCTCTCCCACAGGGATCAATTACAATATAACTAAAGGCCAAACTTTTATTTTAGTTTTAGATACAGTAAGGGTTATAATTAGGTACGCACTGATATCAATGCTAGTATCAATACTGAGTATTTGAGCAAGTGCTCCCGATGCCTAGCCTGATACCCGAACTTCCGGTATCAGGAAGCCGGGCGGCAAGTCATTACACGCTGCCCAGCTTCCTGATTTACCGGAAAGCCGGTTCAATGCTCTGCATCACCAGGGAGCATGGAGTTGGCTTCCCCACCAAAGCTCCTGCCGTCAGAGTAAAAAAACACAAACAAAAAAACCCCAGACAGTATGGGAATGCATAGCTAGATTGCCATTGACTATTTCCATTTGCAATAGCCAATAGCAGGCTGGCTACTGCACCCGCCCACTGCTGCTGTCAATCAGCAGTGGAGGACCTGATGGGGAACTTAACCATAGCTATATTTAATAACTAACCCTTGAGGTGGTGGGTGGAGCTATGGTGGGTGTGTCCAAATGGCGCTTTTAACTGTGGGAGGGGCTTAAATGATGCTCCGGAGTCTACAGAATGGTGGATAGGTGGGAGCCAGGTGCACTGGCACCGCCTGTAGGTGGGAGCTGTTGGTTATGTGTTTAGCTGAAGCACTGAGATCTTGAAGAATGCTGAATTAGAAGGACATTACATCATTGCAATACAGCATTAGGCAAGAAACATATTGTTAGAATACACATTATTGTATCTATTGCAATAAATCCTGCAGTATACATTTTCGGTCACTAGATGGCAGTGCTTATAAGTTCTGTTCTATATCTATGGTATATACTCTGTTGTATTGAATAAGGTAGAGAATAAAGCTGTGGCTTCCTTCCTGTTTTCCATGCTATGTGCAGCATGTATATCTGACTGTGTGCTTGTGTTTCTCTGTAAGGCTGTGCAAGAGGTTCCAACACATATATACTCAATATATGAAAACTTCCTGTGTATCATAGATAAGCATGCCTATAGAGAGTAACATTGCTATCTACAGCTCAAAAGACATAACATTATATGCTGTTGCATTTCCAACAGGAGCCATGTGCACTGTCAGTGTCACTGAATTGGCAGATACGTAAAAGCCAGGCGCACTATCAGTGTCACTGGAAAGGTGTGTTCACCGGGCTCTCACCTATCTGCCATTCCAGGGTCACTGACAGTGCACCTGGCTTTTGACTTCTGTCAAGGGGATAGGGCCACCCACTGATCGAAGTGAGGTCAATTCCTGCTGAGTTGGCCAAAATTCACTCCGTGTGTTATTGCCCACAAAGCCAACCATAGAGCTTCACGTGTCACCTTTAACCCCCTTCTATGCTGTCAGAACCCACTTAACATACTAGGCCCCCTCTGACAGTTTATATTGTGTTATTATACTGCAGACATGTTATCAGGCATTTGTTTCTAAATGTACAACTTTCCAGAACTTCAGAAGTGAGATTTCCGAGATCCTTGCACTCCGGGATTGTCTGGAATTAGAAATTTTGTAGGTGTTTAGTCAGCCCCCTAAAAGGCTCTTCATTATACCTCCTGCAGCTGTTTGAGGACAGATAACCCGGCCTTTTAAAAATAGCACCGAGCTGCATGTCATCTGATCTCTGTGCTGGAGACATGGCCGTGCAATGGCAACCATTTACATGTTTTCACCCTATCCACGGCACAAACGTTCGCATCGACCCGACAGGAACACAAGCTACAAGAGTCGAGAGCTTCGCGAATGGCATCTGCTTCAGCCAAGACCCGCTGGAACCCGGCCAGCTGTTTTTGGTGGAGATTGAGGAAAAGGAATGGGGGTGGTGCGGTCACCTAAGAGTTGGCCTGACGGCTCGAGATCCTCGCAGCCTGGACGTTGTACCAGAATATTCACTGCCAGACCTCGTCAATCAAGGGGATAGCTGGATATTCGCCATAACCCGGAACCATAACAGAGTGGTGAAAGATGAAGAAGAAGGTAGCCCTAGCTCGGATAAAGGGCTTCTCTCGGACCCTTACCTAAAAGTGGGCAAGTATAACATTTCCCGTGACAAGCTGGTAGCACGAAGCAAGCCGGGCCGATATAGCCACATTTTGGATGACTTGTACAAAACCAATGTGCTGCCACCCACCGCCCGCAGGAGCAGGGTTGGGGTATTGTATGAACCACAGTCAGATGGAAGCCGTCATATGCACATTATCATCAATGGAGAAGATATGGGTGCCAGTGCCCGTGGAATACCAGCCTCACAACCGCTCTATGCCGTCATTTTATAAGCAGCTATGGAACCAGAATGGTTGGCAATTCATAGGAGGCAACACAACCGATTTGTACATTTGTGGTTGCCTAAGAGGACTTCTAGCATTCTAAAAAATCAGTCATTGATTTTTGGTATTTTTGTAGATCTTACACACATCACAAGCTAGGGCTCAGTCATTACTTTGACCAAGACCTTGTAGTTTTCTAAAGCTGACCTCAGGTATTGGAGAACATATCGCAATGGGGGGAATTTATCAAAACTGGAGCAAACAGAATCTGGAGCAGTTGCCCATGGCAACCAATCAGCTTCTCTCTTCAGTCTGTTCAGTTAAGATCTGATAATGAAAGAGAGAAGCTAATTGGTTGCCATGTACGGCTGTTTCAGATTTTGTCTGCTCCAGTTTTGATAAATTCCACTCAATGTCTTTCAGGTCAGCTTCTGTACCAAAAAGGAATGGTTTGGATGCATGTGCATTGGTGTTTAGGCAATGTACAAAGGAGGGGGGGAGCGGGATTGTGATTACCATAATGACAACCAAGGGCCGGTGCCTAAGGTGGCAAGCACCAATTTACAAAATGTACAAATTGTGTAAACTTTTCCCTAATTTTGTTACCCTCTTATTTATTTCCCTCTGGTCAAAGCCGGTCATATACCGATTGAATTTCACCCGTTGCAATTCGATCAATGGGTGACCCTGCCGACTCTAAAGGTGGCCATACACTTTACTGTGGCCATACACTTTAGATCTGCATCTTGGACAGGCAGATCGTACTTGCGAACATCGCAAGCCCGCCCCCCTAAGGGGTGGGCTTACGATGACCGCAATGCTGAACGGGCAGTGTGCGCATGCGTATATACGCGTCTATGCGTATATGCATGCAGTATATGCAATCCCAGAATGCATCACTCATAATGGAATTTTGAATGTGCTGTACGCATGTACGTGCGTATACGCACGTATAGACGCGTAAATGGGCATAAACGCGCGCATATGCGCGTAAATACGCAGAAATACGCTGCCCGGACGCATCTCTGTTCCATTCTGTTTTTTCGCATATATATGCTACGCAAATATACGGCTCTATAAGCGGCTGTGTGTATGGAGCCATTTATTTGCATAGGTTGCATATGGTACAATACGCACGTACGCGCATATACGCGCGCATACATGCGGCAGTGTGAATGAGGCCTTAAACAGCAGGGAAAGAGACACAAAGCACCCTGGGAATCCAGGAAGTTGGTGAAAGTGATGGGCAGACGGAAGGCAGCACTCGCTACATATAAGGTAGAGGTTAAGTAAGCTTTGATTGCATTATCAAAAACAACTCTAGTATGTGTTCCTTTTACAGTGCTAATGTTTTAACTGGATAGGATATGATGGGACTTTACAACTCCTTTACGCCGTTTCCTTCCTTCCTATTAGTAATGCACCGATACTAGTATTGGTGCCGATACCGAGTATTGGGCGAGTACTCATACTCCCAAGATGCTCCGATACCGGAACTCCCGGTCAGGGGGAGATCTCTCTCTGACCAGCAGTGCAGAGGGAGCATGGCTTCCTAACCAATCAGGAAGCTGGACCCACCTCTCGGCTTCCTGATTGGCCAGGAAGCCAGGCTACATAGAAACAAGTGTAACCGGCTTCCTAGCCAATCAGGAAGCCGAGAGGCGGGTCATGACGTGCCGCCCGGCTTCCTGATTGGCTAGAAAGCCAGCTTCACTTGTTGGTAGTCAGCCTGGCTTCCTGGCCAATCAGGAAGCCGGACGGCACCTCATGCCCCGGTCAGGAAGCCAGGCCGCCTCCACTAGTGAAGCGGGTGTTCTTTCGATAGAATGCCGGCTTCCCAGGCAATCAAAAAGCCGGGCGACGGGTCATGATCTGCCGCCCGACCTCTTGATAATCGGGGCACATGGCACCGGTATCGGCACTCTGTATTGGCGAGTAACAAAAATAAATATTGGTACTCTTACTCGATACCGAAAAAACGGTATCAGTGCATCCCTACTTCCTATACATGTCAAACATTATATGCATTTTTGTGGCTGCAGACTGATGCAGTTAGCTCAATGTTCCCTGTACATACTGCAGTGTCAGCGCTATATAAATGAGTCACAGAAATATTCAGCATTTAACACCTAATATGGCATTTTAAAAGGAACTGAATAGTCTATATATTTCCCAGAATGCACTGGGGCTGCGGTTTCTGTGTGTCACACTGTGCGTGCACATACAGTAGGTGATTTAAAGAGGAACTCAGAGCAAAACTGTTTTTTAACCCTTGCAGCGGGCTACTCCTGCAATGCAAGGGTTAACTGATCGTTTTGGTCTAGTGAGGAAAATAAAAAAGTTATACTCACCTGAACCCTGGAGCCGGGTGGCTCTTAGACCGGTCCCTGGAGCCTCTCTTCTCCTCTGCTGCAGCGCTCTAAGGTCCTATGACTCATCACGTTCTATACAGTGTATTGGATGTGAGGACACCTAGGGACATGCCATCACTGCACTGGAGGAAGAGACAGGCTGGAGGGAGCGCTGTCACATCTGGCCAGATCAGAGGTTCAGGTGAGTATAACTTTTTTTATTTTCCTCCCTTGACCAAAATGAGTAATTAACCCTTGCAGTGCCGGGGGTAACCCCACTGCAAGGTTAATAAAAGTTTGGGTGGGGTGTAACATGAAACATAGTCAGGAACATGTACTTTGGTCTAGGGTATAAAATAAAAAGACATACCCGATCCTCGGTCCCGCCTGGCTGCTAGACCAAGACCTGTCCCTGCAGCCTATTGTCCCCCTCCACTCCAGCAATCTAAGGATCCGTGACATCATCAAGCATAATACAGTGTATTAGATGTGAGGATGCCGAGGGACTACCGGAGTGTAGGGGGAGAGAGGTGAGAGGTCACCGCAACAGGATCATGGATCGGGTGAGTATATCTTTATGATATATTTTATTCTATATTTTACACCCTAGACCAAAACAAGCACTTAACCCTTGCAGTCCGAGAGTAGCCCCACTGCAAGGGCTATGTTTTCATATCCCCCGAGGATGCACAGGACAAGAACAGAAGAGACAAAAAGGGGAAAGGTGAAGTAGAAGTATAGTAAACATTTCAATGGATCAATACTGTCCCGAGGCTGGGTGACACCCGGAGCGGTAACCGAGTGTCACCCCGCCGAGACGTCACTGCTCATGTGCGTGACGTCACCACGTGCATGCGCGATGACGTCATCGCGCATTCGAGGCAGTATTCTGATACCTGCCGGCGGCCATCTTGGTGATGGACCCCGGCAGAGAGAGAAGGGGACAGTCACCTGGCGGGATAAGGTATGCCACCGGGTCCCCTCCTCTCTCCTGATACTGTCGGTGGGGGGTGAGTCATTTTGGTGTCACCCCTCCAATGGTGTCACCCGGGCCGCACCCCCCTTGTGACGCCACTGCTGTATATATCAGGATGGCTATTCACCAAAAATAAGTGTCCTGGGCAATTGACCCCTCACCCCCATATACATAGGAAAACCCTGATTTTAACTTGTGAATCATGTTCAATGGATCAGGGCAAAACAGTTCTGATTGTTCCATGGCTTTGGCAGAAACTGTTGGTGGTAAGTTGTCTTAATCCTTTTGGTCCTTCCTGGCTGTTGTTGAAACTGCCACAAAATTGCCTAGTAAATGTCCATCATTATCTGGTGATTCCAGCTGCCATTCTTTCCGTTAATGGGAGAGCTTTAAGAGTATAGATCACCCATGGAAAATATAAAGAGAACCAGTAATTGATATTTGAGTCAGAAATGGGCATTTTCAAGAATCTGATTCTCCACTTGCATGTGGTTATAATAGTGCAGCCTTAGCTCTCAGGGATAGCTGTGTGTGATGTTATTTTATTACACCAAAGCGCACTTTGTTACTATGCCTTTTTATGCAAATTCATGCATGTGAAAGTGCATGGTGCAGAATTGAATGGCACCGCAGCACATGTTTTGGCATTTCCCTGATCCTAACTCCTTCCTCCCTTTGATCAAGCTAGTAAATGGACAGCTCCTGTAGATTGTTCTCATGAGGTAGGCAGACTGGGTGGACCTTAAAAAAAAAAAAAAATGTTGGTGTGTGTATGTGTAGTTGAAAATGTCTGTGAGTGTGCAAGATTTTGTCTGTGGTTATGAGTGTCTGTCAGTGTTTTTGAGGGCTATTTCACAGTAGTGCAATGCGTTAATCGAACAGCGCCGTGTGATTATGGCTCTGTACCACACAATCGCACCTAGACTGTCATCTAGGGGATTGTGGCTGGGAGAGGAGCACTGTCATCTAGGGGATTGTGGCTGGGAGAGGAGGACTGTCATCTAGGGGATTGTGGCTGGGAGAGGAGCACTGTCATCTAGGGGATTGTGGCTGGGAGAGGAGCACTGTCATCTAGGGGATTGTGGCTGGGAGGGGAGGACTGTCATCTAGGGGATTGTGGCTGGGAGAGGTGCACTGGCATCTAGGGGATTGTGGCTGGGAGAGGAGCAGTGTCATCTAGGAGAACTGTAGACAGAAGAGATGTACAGTCAGCAGGTGGATTGTGACTGGGAGAGGTGCCCCTTGGTGTCAGCACCTTGTCTGTATGTGAATCGTGTATAGGGCTGCCCATTTATTTCACTTGGTGCCCTATACATGGCACTTGCATTTAGGAAGTCCAAGCACCTTTTTCCCAAAATGCGCCACACCAAAGTGCACTTTGTTACTATGCCTTTTGATGCAAATTCATGCACGTGAAAGTGCATGGTGCAGAATTGAATGGCACCGCAGCACATGTTTTGGCATTTCCCATGATCCTAACTCCTTCCTCCTTTGATCAAGCTAGTAGATGGACAGCTCCTGTAGATTGTATATTTCTCTATACTGAATTCATTATTGGAAAATAGTTTGACAGTTTAAAATTACTTTTAATAATCTGCTGAAAATGTGAAGTTTTACTTTAATTACTTTAGGTTTGGTTTATTTATCATTGACTTATATACCCGGCATCTTGACTTCAGAAGTCTTTTATTTCTTTTCCAGTTCCATCCCTGCAGACGCTGAGTCGCCTTGTCATCCAGAAACATATGATCCGCAGACTCGACATTGATCGGTTAGACCTGCCACAGTTACTAAAGAACTTCTGCAAATTTGAGTGAAAAATTCTTGAAGTTTTATACTGCTTATCAGACATGGAACTACAAAACATGAACACGTGGGATAAAATGTGTTCCTCTGTCGGAGTTCACAGCCCTGTTCTGTTATCCAATAAATGGAATTTGAGGCTATACTGGCACTATTATAATTTGCAATTATTTATCCTACAAATCACTAGATCTAGGCAACAGTTGCCAGATTTTTAAAACTTACCTTAATAATAGATTTTCCACGAACTTCTTAAAGCAGGGGTAACAAACCTCCGGCCCTCCAGCTGTGGTGAAACTACAAATCCCAAGATGCATCTCTCTTCGGGAGTCATGTCTGGGAATCTTTCAATGCCTCATGGGATTTGTAATTCCACCACAGCTGCAGGGCCGGAGGTTTGCTACCCCTGTCTTAAAGTGAATCCATGTCTCACCAATGTAGGGCAAAGCAACAGGGCTACTTGCATAAAGGTCAATGGGGTGAATTTTGATGGTCAGTTGGGTAAATCTAGAGGGCTACTAGGCAAGCTACCGTCAAATAAATGGAACAGGAAACTGGGAAAAGCCGTGGTTTCCAATGCCAAAAAAACAGAAAAAAAAAAACAAAATCAGTGGGTGGGCCTTAGTGGGTGACATGAAAAACACCCAAATCCTTTAGACCAGTGGTTCTCAACCTGTGTAACCTCAGGACCCACATTTGTCTTTGGTCATTAAGTTGCGACCCAAGTCACACTGCAATGGAATGCAAGGCATTGCAGTACCACGCGTTCCAGTGCGTGCGATCGAACTCTGATGGCACCTCCCACACCAGAATGCACAGTAGGTGCGATTGCGTGGTGCAGTGCAATAATCACATGGGACTGTACTAGTGTGAACGGGCCCTCAAAAACACTGACAGACACACAACCACAGACACAATCTCACACACACATATACCCTCCAAAACAAAGTTTTTATTTTTTGAGATCCCCCCCCCCCAGTCTCCCTACCTTCTGAAAATTGGAGTGGATCCTCAGCCTGGGGTCCAGTGTGGGCTGCTGTGCTGTGACGGAGCTCCATCGTGCATTGTTTGTACAGTTCCCTCCCAGCTCAAGCTTTGTGCAGAATTCTCACCCCTTGAGGTGAGAGCTTGAGGCCAAATTAGTGTCATTTCCTGCAATAGGAATTCTGCAGAGTCCTGTGCAGAACATTTTTGCCATGTATGCAATTCAAATTTACTGGAAAATTCATAGCTGGCTGCTAACTGAACCAAACAGGTTATTTTTTGACAAAATAAACTACTAAATGACAAAAAGTCAAATACAGGAGGGTGCAGAGCATATGATCTGCCTAATTATCAAAATGTACCATCACCTATGCAGTGTGAGGAGATGACAAAGGAACAATACTCTGTATACTGTGTAACAGATAGTCTCTCGGGTATTGTCTAAAATTGAGACTCGAGCAACAATTCATCTAAGGCCCCATTCACATTGAGCGAATCGCGCGTTTGTCGCGCGATTTGCATTTTGCGCGATGCCGCGCGAGATCTCGCAAATGATTGCATTGAGCAAGCTAGAATCGCGGCAAAATCCGCTCCAAAAAGGGTCCTGCTGTAGCGACGCATGACCCGCAACAGACAGAGCCCCATTGCAATGCATTGGAGAGCAATATCGTGCGGTAAATAGCCGCAATATCGCGGGAATTACCGCGCGATAAATCGCTCAGTGTGAATGGGGCCTTAATTGGAGTCACTAAAGCCCGTGACACGCTGCATGCGAAGCCGTGTGGAGCAAAGCAAAGCTGCGAGGCCCCGACGTTCACATGCAGTGTGTGAGAGTTTGATTAGCTGAGCACAGCCAAATGAAAGACTGCATCTTCAGCCAATCGGCTCACGCGTAGCAGCTCAATAGACTTTGCATGCAGGTGCGAGGGTTTATACGTGCGAGCCGATTGGCTGAAGATGACATCTTTCATCCCGGCACGCTCAACTATGTGAGCTCTCCAAAGCTGACACGCCGGAGTGAAAATGACAAGACACACTGCACTGTCATGGGCTTTACTGTCAGGAGGTGAAGCGGGGGAGGAGAGAAGCTGTCAGAAGGCAAAGTGGGGCGGTGCGAGGAAGCTATCAGGAAGCAAAGTGGAGCAGTGCGGGGAAGCCTGTGACACAATGCATGTGAAGCGACGAGCAGCAAAGTGAAATTGTGGCGCGCAGACCCTCGCATGCAGTGTGTCTTTAAACTTTTGATCTGGCGCGCCAGCTTGCAAGAGCTAGGATAGCTGAGCGTGTGGAGATTTAAAATGTGATCTTCAGCCAATCGGCTCGCGTGTATAAATCTATGTGTCAGGATGAAAAGTCCATTGAGTTGTTGTGCGTGAGCCGATTGGCTGAAGATTAAGTCTTTCAACTGCCTGCACTCAGCTCCGCACCTGCTTCGCGTGCAGTGTATCACAGGCTTAAAGTGACATTAAACCCTCAGATTTTTTAACATAAACCAATACTGTAAAGTGTGCCTTACTGTAATCCATGGTAGTTTCCCTTCTCTTTGCTGCTCTTCCTTTTAAATCTGTATCTCTTCTCATGCTGGGGGAGAACTTCCCTTTGCAGCTGAGTGCCTCTTCCTGTAGTGCTGGCTCAGGTTGTGAACCTACACACAGACAACATGTATCCATTCCTGAGACAAGGCAGTCTGCTGCAAAACAGAAGTTCTGCCCAGCATGAGAACAGATACAGATTTAAAAGGAAGAGCAGCAAAGAGAAGGGAAACAACCATGGATTACAGTAAGGCACACATTACACTATTGTTTTATGTTACAAAATCTGAGGGTTTAATGTCACTTTAAGTATTTTTGCAATACAAAATATTCTTTTTGAAACTACTACTGATATTTACATATAAAAGCTCCATTCGGCCATTGGAAACAAGATAAGACAGCCCTATTCAAGCGCCAAGTCACCAGAGCCTACGCAGGGCTGATAACTGTCTCCCCGTCCCCACCTTTATCCAGTTACTCATGTCATTAATCTACATCTGTATCTTGTTTTAATAATTTAATCATATTTTTTATTTTCTTTAGTTTGGGAATTTGTGCTGATTTACCAGACACCTTATACATTTGTATATTATTAGGAGACTTTAGTCTAATTTGACCCATTTGTCACAATTGTTTTGTATGACTTTGTTGTATCTTTGTAGCCCTTATGAAGGGGGGTCCCTCTGATCTTCGAAATGCGTTGGCTTTGTGATAAAGTCTTTTACTTTAATATGGAATAAATCTGCATCTGGACAATTCATTTTTGGTGTGGCACTTTAATCTCAGATGATCTTAACCAAGGTGAAATCCTTCAGAATGGAGAGAATGCCAATTCCAAGCATACAGATATCTCGGTCAATTACTCCCATACCCTTCATAACGATAGAAGGACTGTAAGGTATCAGTGCTACCCCATAAAAAAAAAATGCTTTTGTTCGTATCTCTATCCCCATGTGACAGTGCTGGACTAATCATCAGGCACCAACACTGCAACATGGGAAAAGAGTCACATGCTTCTCCATTCCTGAAAATATGGGGTATTTTCTTCACTCCTGCTAACCCGGACAAAGGGACTGGGGGAGTGACGGAAAGGGAAGTATGTATTGCGGTGGAGGGGGAAAGTTTGTTCTAAATAGAACAGTGAAGGGTTAAAACCAATGTCTGTTTTTTATTGCTGTCTACTTCCCTACTGTATTTCAAAATGAATAAAAAGTTTGGCTTTTGATAAACTTTAAATTACTCTGTTGTCTGGGAACTCTGCGAATTAAAAAAAAAAACATAACTTTGCAATGGGGCTACCCCCGCACTGCAAGGGTTAAGTGCTCATTTTGTCTAGGGGGCGAATGTCCCTGGGCGCCCTCATGTGTAATGCAAGTCAATGGACCTGCATTAGATGTGATGAAATCAGCGCTCCTTAGACGACCAGAGCCCAGGGGAGAAAAGGCTGCAGGGACCAATCTAGCAGCCCCGCATGACCGGGGATCAGGTGAGTGCATCTTCTTTACTTGAGCCCCCTCATGAGCCCCACTGCAAGGGTAAGCCTTTAAATTCCTGAAGACTTTTAAGCATTCTTTCACCAGAACAGAAATTCACAACAATACTTTTGGTTGCAGTGAGCAGTGATGGCAGTGGGAAAAGGTCATGGGCTAATAACTCTGAATTTGAAGCACCAGAGTACAATAATGTACTATTGGATGCTAACACAGAAATTGCAAAGCTGGAAAGCGTTAAGTCTGCTTCACGCATGCTATAAGGCATGAAAAGCATATACTTGTAGGGCTGCAACACTAATGAGCGCGCGAGAGAGAGCGCAAGAGATTATTTTTTCCTTTCAACTAATCGGAAAAATTAATCGGGCAACTAATCGATTATGTAATCGTTAGCTGCAGCCCTAGATTCTTGTACCAAGATTCAGCAGATTCTTGTGGCTGGAATGACAGGTGTATGCGAACAGCAGAGGCATTGAAGCCTGTACAGGCACTGAGACTGTTCGCATGTATCTGCACTTCCAGCAGATACCTGTGGCTATGGACAGATGACTGGCCCTAGATGTAATCTTTCTGCATCCCGGGCTGTTCATCTGTCCCTAACCGCAGATAAGCGCTGGATGTGCAGATACATATGAACATTAGTGGACAGCTGTGACACCTGTCAGCCTGTCATTGCTTTGTACAGGCTGTCCCGCCTCAGCTATTCACATTCACCTCTGATGCAAGAATCCATCGCCTGGACCTTATAGGACATGTGAATGAGGCCTAACTAATCAGCAATTCAGGGGGAAAAAATTGAATATTTGTGTAAACAGCCCAGGATCTGAAAACAGATATTTTAAAACTACCTTGTTATACATTTAGTCCAGTGAGTACATATGATTTGGAATGTGATGAGCACAATCACTCAATATATTATAGTTTGACTTGTTCATAAGGCCCAATCCATGAATCTGCCAGCTCCCTCAATGTATTATAGCGCTTCTGAAATGTATCCTCGCTGCAGTCTGCCAGTAAATGTGAGAGCTGGTCGGTTAGGGATTCCATAATCAATTCTTTTTCAGGAACATCTGTCCTCTCGCCCCTTATGATTTCCAGAATGTCAGGTGATACAGGAAGAAGTGCAGGCTCAGGTCCTTCTGCCTCTTTCCGCCAGGGCATGTGTACCATATTTGGCTGTACAACTTCCTCATTGGCAGTGATAACCGCTAAGACATGGCGGCAGGGGAGCTTCAAGATCTGGTTAAAGCTGCAGGTACAGGTAGCTGGTGTTCCATAACTGATCTCATTGGGGTTCTCTAGAAGCTGAATATTGAATGATTCATCATTTGTTCCCATCACTTTTACTGACTTTTGAGCAATGTCAAATTCTTTTTGACAAAGGCTAAAGGCTCCAGGGTTGCAAATGTCCTCCAAAGACTGACATATCAATGTAGAGTCCTCAGAGTCCTTGTTGGGTTCTTCATTTGCTTCTTCATCTTCCCCTCCTTTGCCATCAATAATGGCCATTTCACAACCAGTGCAAGTCCTTCTATCTAATATGTTTATGTCAAAAGTGTGTTCCTGTATGTACTTAATCAGAGACTTTAGGATTGCACTTGTATCGCGAGAGTTTTTGAAGATTTCGATGAAAACGCGACTCATAGTTTCGACAGTCTGAAAATACTCAAAGCAGTGACTTGAACTTCTCCAGCGATGCAAGGCCCAAATGCGATCATTCAATAGCCAGTCTGCGTTGAGTTGCATTAACATACTGGGTTTCACAAACTGGTTTAGAATGGTGTACATGTTTCTTAGATTCCCCTTAGTGGCAGAACACATTGTGTTCTTCAAACCATCAATCAGCAAGTGTTCTGTCTGGCTAGGTAAAGATAGCTGATAGATGCTGTGCTGGAAGTGTCTGCAGATGTGATAGGCTGAAAGAACCACCTCAGCAGACGGGAATACTTTAAGTAAAGCGTCAGTTCCCTTAAATTGCGGGTCCACCAGAAACACGCGGACGTCTTGCCAATTGGGGTTGAAATCTTTCATAACTTGAAACATGTGAGTAAGCCCTTCGTAGCTTTCATTCTTCGGCACGGCTATATGAACGATTTTTTCCGTGTTACATGATGTGGGTAGGCACGGGCCGTCTGCCAGAAACGTGTATAGAGCTCGTCTCTGGGCGTCATGGGAACGGATCGTCAACAGAACTTCAGGAAATGTTTTGAACATGTTACACATCATGCTGGTCTGGAGGTTGAGATAATCCAAAACAGAGACTTTATGGAAATGGTATGCGACTTTTGACCCTGCGTTTGTTGCCATGAACATTTCCAAGTAAAGAGAAGCCATTTGTAATTACTTGCAAGGAGCTCCACATGAAAAGGTTTGGCCTTCTGCTGACAAAGAAAAACACACAGTTAATACCAGGGGTGTGGATTAAAAGACAAAAACTACTTGTCCAAGGACTAAAGCCGGGCCCAATCTACCTGTCCCTCATGACAGTCTACTCGTCCCTCATGACAATCTACCTGTCCCTCATGACAGTCTACCTGTCCCTCATGACAGTCTACCTGTCCCTCATGGCAGTCTACCTGTCCCTCATGACAGTCTACCTGTCCCTCATGACAGTCTACCTGTCCCTCGTGGCAATCTACCCGTCCCTCGTGGCAATCTACTCGTCCCTCGTGGCAATCTACTCGTCCCTCATGACAGTCTACTCGTCCCTCATGGCAATCTACTCGTCCCTCATGACAGTCTACTCGTCCCTCATGACAGTCTACTTGTCCTGATACAAAGAAATCATTTTAACCAAAACCATATTTAACCACTTGCTGCCCGAAGCAATTTGTTACATTTGCACACACATGATAAAATTGAAATTTGTGGCTAGAAAACAGCTTCAGACCCCCAAACAATGATATATTTCCTGAAAGCAGAGGCCCTGCAGAATAAAAAGATACTAGTTGCAATTTTTTATGTTGCACGATATTTGTGCAAATGTTTATCAAACCAGTATTTTTTGGATAAAATACACTAAAATGAAATTTAGTGCACAGAAACAAAATATAATACCCAATTGTTTGGTAAAATATAAAAGTTGGGGTCACGCCGGGTAAAGTACCAAACATGTCAAGCCATGTCATGTGAAACTACAACAAACTACAATAGCCAAAATTTCCCATAGGCGATGCTTTAAACGCTTTTACTGCTCATCAGTTTAGTGCAAACAGTGATTGATGGGCCGAGAATTATTGCTCACTCCGACGCTCGCGACTATATGCAACATGTGGGGCACAACTTTCGTTGATGCACGTAGGCGCATCCGATGTGTGTTTGCGTTGTATGTGTGTGCACATGGGGGCGGGGGACCTTAAACATTTTTTTTTGCATTTTACATTTTTTATCTGTTACTTTAATTTTTACATTTAGCTTTATTGCTATCACAAAGGGGGCTAACAAGCCCCCTATGTAATAGCAAATATAGTGTGACAGGTCCTCTTGATGGAGACATCATGGGTCTTTCAGACCCCTAAAGTCACCTAAGGACCCCATAGAAGCTGATGAAGAGAGATCTGCTTCACCAGCTTCTTCTTCTGGCTCTAGGAGCCAGAGAATGTGCCCAGTGACATCGAAGTGCATGTCCCAGGCATCGGGTAATAGGAATCCCGCACCCCTGTAATATGGAGAACACAGTTGTACCATATTTTAAACTGGCAACAGGACAAGTTCTGATATTTCCTTTGTCTGCCGTGTGCTCTTGGTTTAGTGTAAAGCCCAGTTTAAATTTCCTAACGTTTGAGCAGCAAAAATGTAAATATTCATTAAAGAGCATATAAACCCTAAATACAGTTTTCAGTATTTCAATAATGTCGGGATCTGTCCCCAGCTGCAGCACGGCTCTTTGCTGTCAGCAAATAGCGGGTAGTAGCCCCCTAGATGCTGACTTTGGGTCACAGGAGAACATTATTAAATGTATTCCTTTGACCCCAAAAAGGTTTGGCTTTAGTTCTCTTTTAAAAGGAGAGTTGTCAGCTTGCAACTGGAAGTGCTGTTGCTGCCAGGTTCTCCAGTCCCCCCTCTATCTAACAGGAATCAGGCAAGGCCACATAGTCATTGAGAACTGCACTGCAAGAAAAAGTCAGGTGCCTCCCCATAACCCAAAGTAGCCGGTATTTCCCAAGGCTGCAGCAGGCAAACACGGTGACAGGGGAAAGTGTGAGCTAATCTACAAAGAGCTACTAGACCAATAATGGGGTTCAGCATGAGGTGTTTCGGTGTAATCCATGGAATAGGGTGCAGCATAGGGTGTTGTGGATGTAATGGAGCGCAGTGAGGGGTGTGCTGGATGTAATGGGGTGCAGTGCGGGGTGTTCTGGATGTAATGGGGTGCCGTGCGGGCTGTGCTGGGTGTAATGGGGTGCCGTGCGGGGTGTTATGGGGTGCAGTGCGGGGTGTTATGGGTGTAATGGGGTGCACTGCAGGGTGTGCTGGATGTAATGGGGTGCAGTACGGGTTGTGCAGGATGTAATGGGGTGCAGTGCGTGGTGTTATGGGGTGCAGTGAGGGGTGTGCTGAATGTAATGGGGTGCAGTGTGGGGGTGTGCTGAATGTAATGGGGTGCAGTGTGGGGGGGGTGCTGAATGTAATGGGGTGCAGTGAGGGGTGTGCTGGATGTAATGGGGTGCAGTGAGGGGCGTGCTGGATGTAATGGGGTGCAGAGAGGGGCGTGCTGGATGTAATGGGGTGCAGTGAGGGGCGTGCTCTATAGATTGGCACAGCATTTTACACACCCAGAGACAATAAGCAGATGTAACATCAGACAAGCCAGCAATTGGCATGCAGAAAGTCTCTGGTCTTGGTACTGTGCTTGGTGATGGAATCATTATCAATATTAGGTCTGAAAACAACAAAGATTTTGCAGAGCTCTTCAGGCATGCAGCTGGGACCTGTAGTCCCGCCAATCACAGTGCTGACACTCCAGTACACGCTCCCCTCTCACTCACCTCCAGTGTAGTCAGTGTGTACACTGCCAGCTGCAGGTCCCGTCCAATGGGAGAAGGTGGAAGTGACGTCAGGGGGCGTGGCGGGGCTTACACACGGACAGGGAAAGTGAAGCTGTTAGAGCATGCGGGGGCGGGGCTGCTGTGTGTCACAGAGAGGTCTCTGATGGGGTGTACTGGATAAGTGGGGTGTTCGGGATGGAAGAGGGTGCAGTCAGTGTACAATGTAGTACATGTCATGCAGCACAGTGTGATGTGTTGGATATAAAGGTTTTAGCTGTACCAGTGCAGTGAATAGGAGAACGAACCTTCATTTGCTCCCTGTAGCACTGTCCATAGGCTGCCCTGAGCAGTGTGCAGATAATACTTCTCCCGTGCCGAGGTTTATGTCTCTTCCACCAAAAATGCTTCCTCTTTCCACTGGAAATAAATATATATGTTGTGTTTACATTGGATGTGACCTCGGCCACCAGCCCGGACGCCATTTTAGTTCTTAATAGAATATGGAATGGTTTTGTTTGCTGTGTCCCACTAAGGGAATGACCCTTCACTTCCTGTACTGGAGACACAACAGGAAGTGAGAGGAGTCTCCTTAGAGTAAGCAGTACCAGGACTAAAAGAGAGTGACCTTTCCATGACACCCACTACTCCTCTATGTGGACTGGAAGCACCCTGAAGCATCTCAGACCCTACCTTAGCTAACTGGATGTGCTCCCCTTTAGGAGGAGCTTACAGTCTAAGATCCCTATCTCACAGCATACACACTAGGGCCAATTTAGAGGAGCCAATCTATCTATCGGCATGTCTTTGGAGCGTGGCAGGAAACCCAGGGAGAGCATGCAACTCCTTGCAGCTAGTCTCCTGACTGGGATTTGAACCACGGACCCAGTGCTAGAGACAGAAGTGTGGTGGGATTTGTAGTTGCGGCACAGCTGGAGATTGCCTCCCTTGGCCTTAGAGATAAGAACACCCTAGAATGGCAGAAGCGTTAACCACTGTGCTGCCTTCCACGGATCTGACAGTAACCCACCTTAACATGGAAACAACTACGCCATTCTAGGGTGTTCTTATCTCTAAGGCCGAGGGAGGCAATCTCCAGCTGTGCCGCAACTACAAATCCCACCATGTCACTGTCTCTAACAGTCATGCCTTCGGATGTCAGAGTTTGCAATGCCTCATGGGATTTGTAGTTTCACCACAGCTGCAGTGCCAAGATGCCTACCCCTGTTCAAGTTCCTAACAGAATTCCTCCTTGAAGTGTAAGTTTATCCAAAAATTGTGTTTGTTTGGGATAGAGTAGGAAAGGGTTCAGACCCGCCAGTTACATTTGTACTGTGTAACATTGGGGGAAATTTCCCTTTGTTTCCTGTCTCAGAAATGTAACAGGAAGTTAAAGTAAATCTCCTTTACTTTCCTTGCAGTTGTCTATGGAACAGGTGACCCCCATTGGAAAAGTTCAGCTCACCTCTTGTTCTGGAGACACCCTTCAGTACAAATACAGGGGTGGATCTTCCCAATGTGGACAAAGACAGCAATAAAAACTTGACAGACGGTCTATCTCAGGGGTGGCCCTTTGGCTGTTGTGGAACTACAAGTCCCATGAGGCATTGCAAGACTGACAGTTACAGGCATGACTCCCAGAGGCATGCTGGGATTTGTAGTTTCAGCACAGCTGGAGTGCCAAGGTTGCCACCTCCTATCTCAGAGAGAAGTATCAGATTTGTAAAGCAATGCTGCAATTACTGTCAGTCTTTACTATACAAAACGACTAACTATCAGGGAAAAAAAATGGCTGCTTATTTCAATAACATAGCATGATAAGAGAGTGCAGAAGATTTTGAAGTGAACCTGTGCTGTGCTTGTGTAAATACTTATCGCTCAGCTAATGGTTACTTCTCTCTGGCGTCCTTCCCAGCTCACGGATTGCCAGGAGTTCGGCGGGACGCCGGCTAAGTATCACAGGTTGTCAGGATCCACCCTGCTGCCTGATTGACAGCTGGCTCTGCCTCTCTAGAGCCAGAGCCGGCTGTGCCCGCCCCCTTCATCCCTCCAGTTAGTGCTGGAAGAATCGAGAGAGGGGAGGGAGAATCCCTGCAGGGTGCGGTGACTAACAGTCCCTGCTCTCTGCAGTGAGAAGATTGTGAACTGAGTGATCAGCGGCATGTGATTGCTCAGTTCTCGATCAATAGAGCCGACCTGAGACAGCTTCAGTGTCACACGTCAGCTCTAATTATGGGGGGGGGGATTTCATTCTCCGTTCCCACCACAACATGGATGGGATGGGCAGTGCTTCACTTTGTAAATATGCAAACATGCTGCACTTACTCGCAGCACACTGGAAATCACTTGATTGCTCCATCGATGCTAAATAGCATGGGTAGACAAATCCCTATTAGCAGGGATCATAGAGATACAGTCAGACACACAACTAAGCCAGCGATCCCAACCATCAGATTTGCATGCCCAATCAGGGTTTTGTTTTTTCTGTCTGTCTCACTGGGGAGATTTCCCCTCACTTTCTATACAAGAGACACAATAGGTAGTGAGGGGAAATCCCAAATTAGCTGTCAATGGAACAGGTGCCCCCATTGTTAGACTAGTATGCGGCTAGTCTTATGGTGGCCGTACACTTTACAACCCTCGCAAGACTTTTGTCTTGCGAGGGTTGTAAGGTAATTTAAAAAAAAACGTACGATCTGCCTATCTTGGACAGGCAGATCGTACTTGCGATCATCGCAAGCCCTCTCCGCTGAGGGGCAGGCTTCCGATGACCGCAATGCTGAACGGGCAGTGTGCGCTTGCGATTATCGTACGATAATCGTGCAGTGTATGGGCACCTTAAAAGGAGAACTATGGGGTTAAGGCTTTTCCCCATAGTTCTCCTTAGGGTAACAGGAGGACACAAACTACCGTTCTCCCGTCACCCTAGGCTCAGTATACATTGAGTGAAAAGCACTCACCTCATAGTTCTCCTTTAAAGCTGGCCATACACCTATAGATTTCCCATGGTCAGATGGAAAAAGTGAAACAGGTTCCTCCATCTACGTTAAGCTGTGTGGATGGAGGAATCTCCCGCTCGGCCAAGCTTCAGTATCTTGCTAGTCGGCTCCGCTGGCTGTCAAAATACCTGAAGAATCTGATTGGATGCAGGCATTGTTCAGGTGTTTTGACAGCCAGCGGGGCCGACTAGCAAGATACTGAAGCTTGGCCCAGCGTGAGATTCCTCCATACACACAGCTTGGCGTAGATGGAGGAATCTGTTGCACTTTTTCCATCTGACCACAGAAACCATACAGATAATCTGTAGGTGTATGGGCAGCTTTAGACTTACCTTGGACCCCTGTTCTAGTGATCTTCACTGAGCCAATCCACCCAGAGCCACAAAGACTTCATCCGCAGAATCATCCCTGCTGGGTGCTCATCTTGCCACGGCCCGATTTATTCCTAAAGGGGGCCATACTGATTGCAGCCACAGGGAATTCTCCTTTAAACAAAAACTTACAGCCAGTTAAGAAATTATCTAACTGCCAAAAAAAAATTCTGACTGACATTACAATCATATCCTACAAATGTTATGGCACGTACCGTTTGTGCAGGCAAAGGAAAATACTGACAATGGACAATCCTCCAACATGGCTGACACCCTCTTTTGCAGCAGAGGTACCCCCTAATGTATCACTTGCCCCTCCCTTTTAGATTGTAAGCCCTCACGGGCAGGGCCCTCCTTACCATCTTGTCTTGAATTATATTGTGATTGTAATGTCTTCCTTATATTGTAAAGCGCTGCGCAAACTGTTAGCGCTATATAAATCCTGTATAATAATAACTCCAGGAAAACCACAAACTTACCCTTGCATTGGGGCTACCTCCACACTTCAAGGGTTAAGTGCTCATATTGTCTATGGGGTTCAAATAAAGCTGTATTACTCACCTGATCCTCGGCCCCACGGTGGCCGACACTCTCCACTTCTCCCCTCCACTCCAACTATGACATGTCCTTCGGCATCCTCACGTCTACTGCAGGTCAGCGTTCCTTAGACCGCCAGAGCCCAGGGGAGAAGAGGCTGTGGGGATCAGTCTAGAGGAAGTCGGCGAGACCGAGGATCAAGTAAGTAAATTTGCTTTATTTGAGTCCCCTAGGCAAAACAAGCAGACGGGGTACCCCGACTGCAGAGGTAAGTTTATGATTTTCCCAGAGTTCTTCTTTAAGAATCTACGTTAAAACCAATTACCCCTGATGTCTGTAATATGTGTGTATGCTGCTGCAATGGGTAAAAACTCTGCACTCCGACGCCACCGAAAGGCCTGAGCCTCTGGCTATGAAAATTACACTCCTGGCTAGGGCTGCAACAACTAATCGACATAATCGATTATAATCGATTATTGAAAAAGTTGTCAACTTTTTCAATAATCGATTAATCGGCTTCTGATCAGTTGGCCCTGTTCACAGCTCCACACGCTGTGCTCTGTACTGTATATTATGCAGAGCAATGTACCATCAGCTAAAAAGGGATTCAAATCCCAGCAATACATTATACACTGTATGTATAATGTATTGCTGGGATTTGTTGTACTCCTCTATAGCTGGTGATATTCTGCATTGCGCTGTATAGAGGACTACAAGTCCCAGCAATAATACATTATACAGCGCAATGCAGAATACCACCAGCTGTAGAAGAGTACAACAAATCCCAGCAATAATACATTATAAAGTGGTACAATGCTAAATACCACCAGCTATAGAGGACTACAAAACCCAGCAATAGTACATTATACAGCGCAATGCGGAATGCCGCCAGCTATTATGTACTATTGCTGGGATTTGTTGTATTCCTCTATAGCTGGCGGTATTCTGCATTGTGCTGTATAATGTGCTTTTGCTGGGTTTTGTAGTCCTCTATAGCCATTGCCATTCTGCATGCATTGCTGTATAATTTTACACTTTCCATTTCACTATATTGCACACCACACTATCTTTTTTTCTTTTTTACTTCCACCAGTCCAATCTTGCTCCTGTGATGGACTACAACATTAATACAAACTAGTAGTCCTATCACTGGAGCCATTTTTTAAACTTTATTTTATAGTTTATCCGATTAACCGATTAATCGAACTTAATAATCGGCTAACTAATCGATTTTGAAAATAATCGTTAGCTGCAGCTCTACTCCTGGCTATAGTACATTGCATACAAAGAGGTCGTTGTGGGTCGTCCACCTGCTACCTCCTTCCTTTATTTAAATAAATAAACATTAGCTCGATCTAATTGGCCGGGAAGCCGTCTTCCCGGCCAAACAGCCGGCTCGATGCTGATTGGGTAGGAAGCGATTGGCTAAAAGCCTTTCCAGCCAATCAGCATCGAGCCGGCTTCCTGGCCTATTAGGAAGCCAGGTCATTACTCGCCACCTGGCTTCCTGAATGGCTGGAAAGCCGGTTTCCTGGGCAACCACAATCAAGCCGGCCAAACAACATGGAGCCGGCTTCCCAAGCAATCAGGAAGCCATGCGGCATGCCATTACCCGCCGCCCGGCTTCCCGATTTCTGGGAAGCCAGCTCCATGCCAGCAGGAGCACCGATATCAGCGAGTATCGACAGCAAAATATCGGTACTCGTACTCGATACCGAAAAACCGGTATCTGTGCATCTTTAATGGACACTGCAAGTGTAACTTTTAAAGGCATCTGTTTGCCTCCCAGTAAGCCGCACAGGTAAGTTCTCAGAGGCAGACAAGTATGACACTTAGGGAGGAGTCATTTTTCCCATGACATGAACAGTAACAGTGTCTGTTAGAGGTTTTATTTGGTCTGTTCATAAATATTTAACTGATGGCTAGGTCAAGTGTCCAGCCTGTACAGTTCACAACAGTCAGAATCTGCTTCCCCTTCAACGGATTCCTTCTTCACCCACCTTAAAGGCAGGGCATCAGTCTTATTCTGAGCTAGATGGTCTTTCTTAGCATTTGATTCCTTTTGCCACATATCCACGATTATCTGGAGTGTAGAAGATCTAACCCGCTTTTCTGCCTCATCAACCTGCAGGAGTAGATTTTCAAATTCCATGACCAGACTGTTGATCATGTCCACCCTTCTGTTAGCTTCATCTGCAGAGTTAGCATTGCAAAGTACCGTGTCCCATATCTTGGAATGTGACACTGGTTTTATGGACCTCTTATGCCACCTGACATTGACCATGTCTCTGTCAACCAGCTTTTTGTTTGCAAGAAGCATGGCTAAGATATGTCTACATGGCAACTTATAAAGGGTACTGAAATAGCATGTACAGGACAAACCACCCTGAGAGACTTGATGGGATTCTTCCAGAAACCGGACAAGAATACAATCGGTCTGGACACTAATGAGTTGGCTAGACTTTTGAACCGCTTCCCACTCTTTAAAGCACAGCCGAAAGCCAAGGTCATTGCAGTTGTTCTTCAAGGAAAGTAACATCTTATCAGAAACTTTCTGTAGTCTGGATGGCAGTGGCTTGGGCTTGTTTTCCGAGGCGTCTATAACCTTTGGCAAACCCGAGCTCTTTTTCATAGAAGGTTGGGCTGACCGTCGTGATTTAATGATAGATTTTACCTTCACTTTTTTCTTTTTTGGGGATCTGGCGATATTCTTGGAAAAATCCAAACAGCCATCCCTTTTGTTTTCTAGCCCCTTGCTATTGAAACAGTCTGCAGATTCAACAAACTGCTGGATTTTTTCTTCTGTGGGCACATCTTTCGAGAGCAGACTGGAGATGGTATCAGTCACCAAGCCCAAGCTGTCCATGTACATATTACTGAAGTGCAAGCCTTTCTTCATATGCAAGTACCACAGCAATTCACAAGAGAACCAGTTTGTGTAAAGGTCTTCATACAACTCCTTGTCCAATTTGTACTGTATTTGCTCTGCTAAGGTGTTCAGTTTCTCTGGGGTTGTGTGGTGGATGGCATCGTCGATCCATTTGCGAAGCCATTCCTTGAAGCAAGTTGATCCCTTGATTTCTCTTTCAATGAAATGCACTGTATGGAACACAGACAGTAGAGTCCTGGCTGAAGGAAATGACTCCCGCAAGGTATCCCTGTGTCCAAAACCGATATCCGTATAGATAATCTTTACCTTTTTCCATTCCGGGTTGAAATTTTTGAAGGTTTCCATCATTTTGGAGATCTCCTTTGCATTATCCTCCCTAACAAAAGAGAAGTTAATGACCTTTCCTGTGCGCTCTTTGTTTTCCACTAGAAATGCGTACACAGTGTATCCACGTTTAATGACCACCTTGTGGATTAGTAGGCTTTCGGGAAACTTTAAAAAAAAGCCACACATTTTACTTGTTTGGAAGCTTATCTGCTCCAACTGCTGTTCACTTCCAACGCTTAACAATGCTTTTGAACCAAGATCTTTGGTTTGAAAGTTCTTCATCAACTCACCTAAACGTGAAATCGCATCTATAGACAACACCTCCTGAACACAGTCTAAGGTGGCATCGGGAAAATCAACTTCACTATCGTTTCCGTCCAATGGCAAGCTTTCCTCGTATTCAGATGGCACATGCAGATGAAGATTTTCATCATTATATTCCTGAGCTACAGGTAAAGATATTGTTTCACCACATATCTTTTTAGATTGGGAATCCAGCTCCCTGCATTCAGAATGCACCAGTTCCAGTGGAAAGGTAGGGGGAGATACTTGCAGACTTGTCTGCTTGGTGTGAACATGGGTGGGACATTCTTCTTTAACTACCAGTCGATCTAGTGTGGCGTCATACTGCAGAAAAAAGTAGGCTGGGCAGATGACTTCCAGCGACTTTCTTTTACCGTTGTGCCCTTGCAGTTTGGAACAGCAAAACTTTACCTGAGTGTATCTAAAAAAAATAAAAAAAAGAGATTTAAATGCTAATCTTAATATACTGCAAGAGAGGGTACAGAAAACAAAATGCACTGTATAGGTTAGATTTCCAAATGAGCAGAATTTTCACAAAGTACTCAAAAATGATAAAAACTCTATAAAAGTTGTTGTATGGGATCTTTTACTGTCACTTGTATATAAGAATGTATATGTTATACATGTATAATGTCTCCTAAAAAATATATATATAAGTCTTCA